GCAAGGTTCACTCCTTCGTCCTTGTCTTTCGATCCCTTGTCTTTTATGTACCAACAATTCTTGGCCAAGTGTCCCCACTTTTCACAGTTATAACACTGCATACCTTTCTTATCTTCTTTGTCCTTTCGATAGTTTCCTCCTCCCTTTTTCGAGGATTCAGAAGATCTATCTTCGACCTTATTCTTATGGGAATTCGACCAAAACTTCTTGCTATGAGTCTTGTCGAATTTGACTTTGAATTTGTTGGAACCACCATATTTTTTCCATGATTGAGCTTGCAGTGTATGTATTCTCACTTGGGTCATCTTTAACTTTAGTTTCTTTTCTTGGTAGAGAACTTTTAATATTGAAGATGACTTTTCTATCATGCTTCAGGTGCGGTTATAACTCATTTGCAATATTAGGTTGTCCAATATGATAATCCACTTTGAGAAGAGTATTAGCAGCTAATAATTTTTTCATAAACTTTGCAAATGAATTATGTTTTGAACTTCAAAGATCAAAATGATATGATAATATTTTATTTCAAATTGTTTATTTGAACTTCAAGTTCACATTTTCAGCTGTTTATTCTCTCTCCTTAATATTGAGAAAATTAATTTATCAATTGATAATCAACCTACTAGATTTCAAACAAGTATCTAATTATTGGATCAAGATACATCCTCAGATATGAGATTCATATAAAACACATTTTCTCAATATTCTTTCAAAACTCATCTTAGCATACTATATTAGAGCAATTGAATAATCACAACACATCCAAAAGTTTACTTAGATGAGACGTATTAGGTTATTAATCTAAAATAATTTGTAAGTTAAGAGGAGAGTTAACATATACTATCTTGTTGGCTTAATACGAATAAATATATTAATATTTATATTTTGTGTGTTTCAAATATCTAATTTAGAATTTATGATCTCACAAATATCAATCATACAATTAACTTTAGACGTCTAAAGAATGGATCTTCAAGTCTATTTTTTATGAACATATGCTACAAGATGTTCAATATTAATTTTAGTCTGAGAAAACAACTTTACAAACTTCTGATTGTGGTGAGTGGACAATAAACATTTGCATAATATTTTAGTCGATGCAACAATTAATATCATGAAAAGCTAAATCTATCAGATTTTTAGTTTTTGTAGAAACACACAAAATTTATTGGATTGAAGAAACTTTTGGTTCTTCATCACGAGTTTTCACATCATGATACAAATTCATGATCTTTTAGTTGAGAAAACAATTCACAAATTTCTGGTTGTGAGTAGACAAAAAATATATGCATAATCTTTACGTCAATGCAATAATTAATATCATAAAATGTTTAAATCGTCTACATGATTTGTGTATTGATTCACAAATATCACCTTATATGTTTTATATAAAAACTTAACCTATAAAATTTTAATTTCCTTTAGGAACAAACAAAACTTATTGCATTGAAGAAACTTCATGTTCTTCAATATTAATTTCTACATCATAATATATTCGAGACGACTCAACCGATTTTGCCAACAACACATGCCAACAACATATTTAAGTGTGATTTATAAATTTCTGGTTTACACTAATACACATATGTATTTTAATTATTCTAAATTGTTTGAATCAATCATATTATTCTCTAATAAATGAATCTTCATAAACCATACATACATGTTTTTATATGATTTAATTAAATCAAAATTTATTTCATAATAATATTATTTATGTCACACACATTTAGCCAAAAAAACTCTATGCAATTCAATTTTGTTTTATCATAAAAATAAAATATTAATTAAGAAATATAAAAATTATCTTAAAACATCAAACACACCTTAATATTTGAAAAAAGTTTCTTAATTTAAAAATTTAATAGCAACAATAAAATACATAACATTGGTTAATTAATATATAAACATATTAAATGATATATTAAACATAACGAGATTTCTTCTAGTAAAATATTTTAACATCAAATACATAGACAATGACTCAATCATTAAAGACAATAAAAAAAATTATATAGTCAATCCTTTAGTGAAATATATAGCTCTTAATGAACGTTATAACAAATAATGAAAAAAATACATTCTTTGAACAATTCTTCAAGGATGTTGTGATTTTTTTCCAGAAAATATATAGATTTATAATCTCAAACATGTAACAAATTAGATTCTAACAATTTGAAGAAGTTTCTAACACTGTCAAATGTTAGAGAAATTTTTTAGAATAATATAAATATTTATAAACAATAATCTAAAATAAATATAATCATCTTTTTGGGATGCATTAAAATTATTAGTTGATAAATGATGATCTAAAAAAAATAATCATCCTTTAGGGATGCGTTAAAATTATTTATTATAAATAATAATCTAAAAAAATATAACCATTCTTCTTGGATGCGTTAAAATTATTTGTTATAAACAATGATCTAAAAAATATAATCATCCTACTGAGATGTGTTAAAATTATTTGTTATAGATAATGATATAAAAAATATAACCATCCTTTTGAAATGCGTTAAAATTATTTGTGTCATTCTTCTGGAATGACAATCATTTTATGAGCATATTACAAATTTTTAGATCGATATAACAAAAAATATTTATGAAATCTTTCTGGGGTATTCAATATTATTCTTTCAATCTTTCTCGAATTGAATAATATTATTGATACAATCATTTTGCTAATTTTTAATATAATCGATGCAATTCTTTTAGGATTAGTTAATATTATAGATGCAATCTTTTTGAAATTCCTTAATATTATACTTCTAAGATTCGTTAATATTATAGGCGCAATCCTTCTGAAATTGTTAATATTATCTTTCAAAGATGTTTTTCAGAAACGTATACAAATATTCTTTCCCTATTGATAATCATAATTAATTTTCTTTTTCTTTTTTTAATCAATATATCATAAATAACAGATAAAATATATATATTATAAAAATAAATAAAAAATAATATTACCTTATAATACCCTAAGATTCTTTTAAGTCTTGAAATTTCATACTGATAACATGTTATGAAATTGAATAAAACAATATAAGAGAGAAAGAAATTAAAAAAATATATTTTATTATTCATATTCTGAATCGATGCTTCAAATACAATATAATTTATATTTATAAAACATATATAATAAATATAAAATCAATATAAAATCTCTCCATCAATAAACATCCATATTCATATTATTTATAATATAAATGAAAAACTACCTTATAGACGTTGTTTTCAATATTAAAATTGGTGTCTTAATGACCCTATAAATGAAAAACTACCTTATAGACGTTGTTTTCAATATTAAAATTGGTGTCTTAATGACCCCTTTTGAAGCAATAACTCAATATTCAAATTGGTGTCTTTATAATCTTTTGAAGCATTAACTTAATCTTGTTTACAATATACTTGTAGTAACTTCTGATTTACTGCATCCAATATCATTGTAACTTCTACTCTAAATTAAAAATTAAAAAGGGCAACTGCTAAAATGTAGTTATAGACAGTTAAATTAATTGTTTAAACTCTATTAACTAGTACTTTAATTTATACAATATCAAACAGTATGAAATGAATTAAAATTACAACAAATAAACAACTAGTTTAAACAGCTTCCTAAAGTACTTTTAATTGGGTTTTTTTATTTCAAGTCCAATATAAACTAGTTATAGCCTTACTTCTTCTTCTTTTTTTGTGTATAAAATTACCTTAAAGCAAGTCAACTTAGAAATGTAAAAAAATGTAGAATTTTAATTGAGATCAAACATGCAACTGCAAAATCACATACTGAATGTTAATTATATATCATAAAAATTATCGCTAAAAAATTACTATTGTAAAAATAAAAATACAAAAGAAAAATACAGTTTGTTTTTTATGTAATTAATTAACACTCTATACAAATAATAGAATTCAAAATGACGAAAAAATAATTGAAATTTTGCATGTTGTACTTTCAAAGAAGAAAACTAGCACAACTGCCGCAATAAAAATAAAAAATAAAAAAAAATGAAAAATCAAATCACCATGGTCGCTAAGAAAAGTCAACGAAATCAACGGTTATGACTGACTCTTCCAAAATCAGCAAGTTTTCTGGAACGGTTCGCACAAAACGACGCCGCTGCGGAGAGGTGTGGTTTCACCGGAGTAGCCCTAACGTCCGATGCCGCAGCCATCTCCGGCGGTAATCCCTTGTTGTTCCATCTCCGATTCGGACTCGCCCGAACCAGAGGACTCATGCAAAAAATACCCGAACCCGACGCGCTCTTCCCATGCCCAAGCCGCGAACGCCGTGACGAAGGAACATTTGCCGACGGCGTTTTCTTCCACCATGGCGAAGACTCCGACGAGTAGCCACTACCAGACGGACACTGATCGCATTCATCAGCGAAATCCTCAGCTGTTCTTACAGGTGACATTCCACGATCCGACTGACGGTATCGCCTTCTCGCTCCAACGGAAAATTCCTCCTTCGTCATCGCAGTCTGGTTCTTATTCTTATTCTTCCGACGAGGAGGTAAAATAGAAGAGAACCACGACGGCGACGCTGACGATGAACGTTCTTCACACGACGGATCAGATTGGATATTCTCCGATCTGGATTTAAACAGATTCGAGAAAATCCAAAACTTGCTCAAACGCTTCTTCATCGACCTAGCTTTGGAGTTCTCAGTGAAACCTCCGTAAAACGTCGGTCCAAGCTGTGGAGTGCTGTAAAACAGCTTTTCACGGCGGTCATGACCGTTCCATGCCGGAGTGTAATCCGATTTCCGGCGGGAGACATAAGGCGAAGCGGAGCGTGGAAATATTAACGGTGGTGGAGGATTGGCTTCGGAGTTTCTAGAAGATTCATCGGAAGCGCGTGAGGTGGCTCTGGTTAATTGGGCTTGGGCTTGGGCTTGAATTAAGAGTATGAGGCGTTCTCTTAGACAGGTGGAGCAGACACCGACGGTGCTGGTGAAGTCTGTGATATGTTTCTTACACCTCATTTGATGGTTGTGTTACATACGACGCCGTTGCGTGTGTTTGTTGATGTAGCAGCATGAGAGAAGAGATCTGATGGGTTGCTTTGTCTTGTTGTTATATTTTCTAAGAGAGAGAGTATGTTGGAAGTGAGTGTTGGTTGGTACTAATAGTAATGTGATGGTGGAATCTATAATAAATTTGGAGAGAGAAAATAAGGAGAGAGAAAGAGAACATGAGGTCAAAGTTGAGTTGGGTTCTGGAAAAAGGATGGAGAAACAAATAGGTTTGGAAACAAGACAGATGAGGAAAGGTACATGGAAGATTGGATTGTGTTGGATTTGGAACACAACGAATCATACAATGAGCTGCAAATTTTTTGTCATTTTATTTTAGGTAATTAACCCGTTTTTTACTTAAGGAAAATACACATTGGTCCATAAAGCGGTTTAATTAGGATTTGATAAAAAAGTTTTACCAAAACAAAAAATCAAATCTAAGTGTGAAGATAAAAGTGTAACAAAGAGATTAAAATAAGGTTTAAATAATATTTTCACCCCTCTCTCTAGTTGAGTGTTAAACGTTCAAAACTAAAACTTTTGTATTATATAGGATCCAAACTCACCCCATTTGATTAAAAAAATATTGTCTTTACCATTAAGTCATTTGTGTTTTTTTGTTTAATAATTATAATGCGTAATATAAATAATAGATATAAGCAATATGAGGGATAAAATTCAAAATTTGAATGATTTTACAACTTCTTCTTCTCTTTAATATCATTGTCTTTTTCTTATTCTCTTCAATACCATTGTATTCTTCTTTTTATTTGATGTATAAAATTTAATTTGAGACTGAAGCCAAATGATCCGTTCAGTAATTATGTTCATCTATTTTGCCAAAAAAATTATACTCAAAATAAATGAAATGTCATCCATTTGTAATATTTCTTCTTTCTCTGTGCCTTAGTTCTGGATTGCTTCTATAAAAATTAGAGATGAAAAATTTAAGGCTTATATATTTTTATCATCCTTATAACTTAGTGTGTTTTTTATTTTAGTCCCTAAATATTTTTGGATTAGATCCCTAATTCTGCATTTTTGCTACTGCATTTTTTGTTTGTTTTGGTCCCTATTTCTAGGTTTTTGCTACTGCATTAATTTGATTTTGGTTCTTAATGATGGAGTTCTCTTAAAGCATTTTATTCACTTGATTTCACAATAAAAAGTTTTAAATCAATGGTGCAACTCCAAAGCTTTTGACTAACACTAGAAATTGAAGTATCTAACTAGAAAGTACTATTCAATTTTCTATTTTGTATGCCTTCTTTGTTGTGACTTGACAATGAAATAAATCCATACAAATCCATGAAGCTAAAGAAAATCTAATTTTGTGTAGCCTGCAAGTACCACCAGTTATAATGGTATTGAAGAGAGAAAGAAGAAGACAATGGTATTAAAGAGAGGAAGAAGAAGTTGCAAAATCATTCAAATTTTAGATTTCATCCATCGCGTTGCTTATATCCATTATATACACATGCATTCCAATTATTAAATAAGGAACACAAATGGTTTAGTGGTTAAGACAATACTAATAAATGAATCTACATGAAATTGATCAAAAATAAAAAAATAAAATATTAATGTCAACTCAGTAAACGTTAGCCACATAAGCGTTTTTGTAACAGAAATTTAACGTTGGTGACTTAGTCAACCAAAAATGGACATATAAGCCTTAAAATAATATTTGTCAAATATGATATATTCTTCGAAATTAAACATTATGAGAAATTTTATCCAATCTTTTAAAAATCAGACTGAATTGGTTGGTTGAATCGGGAATCTGAGAGGTTTTTGATCTAATTTAATTGTTAGATTGAGTAAGCTATTGAACCGGTAAGAATCTCTCATAATCGATCAAAATCAATAAAAGTCGGAGAATCAAAAGTTTTAGGAAATCGACAAATTAAATGCTTTGTTTCTTTCAAAAAAGCGACGTCGTTTTGATAATTTAAAAAAATATAAACAATAGATTTTGTTAAAAAATTATTTGGAACACCATTTTCTTCTTAGAATTAAATTTATTAGATACTTTAATTATTTTATTATGTCGCAATTAGACTTTAATCAAAATTTATTTAGATTTATAATTTTGTTGTATGTGATGACTATGTGTATAATTTAAATTTAAAGAATGATCTTGTGAAGTTATAATATTTTGAAATTTTGTAGATGTCGTGATTTTTTAGAGATCGAGTCATTTATTTGAACTGTTCAATAATTATATAACTTTGTTATAAATACTAGTTTATTCAACCGAATTATCCGATTTAGTCGTGTGGTTCGACAAGTGATTCCGAGGTTCGACAAGTGAACCAGTGACTCAGTACCCTCATCAGTTTGATGACCAGTCCGATTTTTAAAACATTAATTTTACCTCATACCCAATCATTTACCCATACCCCGACATTAATTTTTTTGACCAAAATGCCCTCATATAAATAATTAATATTTAAAAATTTCCACTTTTCCCTCACTCACGCTTCAGAACTCTTCCGATACACGAACAATTTTGGCATATACCGGAACACTTTCAACAACTCTTCATGTTTACAATTAACACACCAGAACAAATTAAGTGAGTCTTCTGAATTTATGCTTTTCACCGGAACACATAAACCAAGTATTCCAGTTTTCAATGTTACATTCCAGATGTCATTGGTAATGTCTTCCAGTTTTATGTTTTACACCAGAATTCTTAGGCCAACTCTTCCGATTTGGTGAAGACTTCACTGGAACTCATTCACAAAGTGTTCCCATTTTTTTTTAATTTAACACTCTGGGACTCTTTCGAAATGTGTCCCAGTTTGTTGTTTTAAATACTTTTTAATGTATTTTTGTTATTTTAATAGTTGCGCGAATACGAGGCATGGATGGTAAGATTCCAGATCATGGTTCAGCACGGGGTGCTTCATCGATGTTGGCAGGGGAGGAAGAGCATAATGGTGTATCAACATCCGCCTCACAACCAGTTGGGTTTCCAGAAGGACCGTACGAACATCATATTGCTCGACATTTATGGTTCGATGAGGTAAGTAAATGACATTTATTTTATATTAAATAATTTTTTAATTTTTAATTTTTTGTTTTATAATATGTGTATTTTTATTTGTTTTTCGAAGAGAGAGGTCTGAAGAAAGAGTTGAAGGTTGTTGTACATGGACTGAAGCTTACACAGAGGGTTCCTCATAGTCTTCCACCAAAGGTGGAGGCTTAGATGTCTAGGTCTGACCTATCTTCACTTCAGAGAACCAGTTTGACAAAGATAGACACAAACCTGATATTCGCAATCGTAGGAGATGCTATCTAGAGACATCTTCATCAAGGTAGTGATATGGAGCCCTGGACCTATCACTGAAGAAGTTGTTGTTAAACTTATTTTTAACTACCTAGGAGTGTCACATAATGATGCAACATGATAAGTTCGTAGCTGTAGGGGGTGCTTATTATAAATTGGAGTGGTTATACGATTTTTCAAAGATCATCGAGCTGCTTCTAGATGAGACTGTCCAACCATAATGTATATGCTGATGTTGGTGGGTTCCATCATTTTTGCTGACAAGACTTTTATGCATGTCGAGGCACAAAATTTATTATTATTTAAGGACATGGATACATGTGAGGGTTACATTTGGGGAGCAACTACATTGGTTACCCCCTACAGATATCTTGGAGATGCATCCATATTCAATTGCAAGCAGCTTGATGGATATCCTACTCTACTACATGTATTTATTTTAATTTAGTTTATTTATTTTTATTAAATTTGTTTATTAAAACTATTAATTTTGTAATAATGCTGGATTCATAAGTATTTTTCTAACACTTGGAAAAAGAGGAGAAAATTGGAAAGCAGTTGACAATAGAAAAAATATTCAACAACTTAACTAAATCTGGATGAGCCAAAAAAATATCTCTCACAACTTTTGAGTCATCTCTGTTTTAACTCCAGCAAACATGGCTCGAGCCCTCCATAAGCTTAAAAAAATGTTTTATCTCACTTCTATGACCTCTTATCTCTTTTTCTAACATACTCTTATGTTTATATATTTGTGTGATCTATGTGACATTCTTCGTATCTCTCTCTTACAAGGAAAGAAATATGTGTCTAGATGGAACATGTTTATTTGTTAAATCAATAACATGCCAATTCTCATATGTGGTCAACCTACAAACAAAGAAATAAACTTCTAATCTATCAGATAAACCATGGTTATGAACTCCATATTTTACATCAACCTTCTATCCAAACACATCTTTCATCGGAGTCGTCATGACTTTGAATAGACATCTATATTTCTTAGTCGCTCTTTATGTTCCACTATTTGTATCCTTGTATTTCCCACCTTTATCACAACCAAATATCACTTTGTTTCTTTGTTGTCTTTCCTGGTTTGGTGTGTGAATGAGTGATAATAATTACTTTATTTCTGACTCCAATCACTTTAACCACCTTATCACATATTCTCGTGTATCGAATCTTTTAGCAGTTGAGAATGCATCAGAGATATCTACACATATTTGGTTTTTATCGCATATTTGTAGAGGAATTTTCATATCTGACATAAATTTTTTTTAAACAAATAAATAATACAAACCAGATATCTTGAGAAAAGTGTTTTGATGCATAAAAAACACAAATCCGAAGACTTGCAGAAAGAGTTCTAGTATACACAAACGTAAAAAGCGGAACACATTTTTCAAGTGTTCCGGTCCATTAAAATTTTTCATCCAAAATCGGAACTCTTTTGGCAAGTCTCCTGGAAGTCATTTAACTACAAAATCGGATATCTTATTTAAAGTGTTCTAGTTCATAAAAAAAACATACCCAAAGTCATTTTCAACATTATGTATTGACCACTTTGGATCCTTTTCTTCCCTCCTTTCTTCACACAAAACTAGTGTATGATGAAAGAGAAAGTGAAAAAAAGTTATAAATTAAAGAGAGATGAAATATAAGAGAGAGATATAAAGAAATTAGTGAAGGAGAAAGTTAGAGAGAAAAGATGGAAGGAGAGAATCCAAGCCCATGTATTGACAACATCAATACTTTTAATTTCAAAGTTTTATGCATTTGAGGTGCTTAAACATTCACATGTCTTATTTAATTACTTAAATTTTTTTTTTGTGTTTGAGAGGCTATAAACAAACATGTGTCTTTTACTTAATTACTTCACAAATTTTTTATGTTTGGAGGTGTTTTAGGCCAACCAAAGAGGCCCAATACACGGAGGAAACGGTGCATGATGAAAATAGACAAATGTTATACCAAGCATTCTTGTACTACT